CGCTCGGAATAGCGGGGCGGTAAAAAGAATTCCAGGAATTCTCGCCGGAACGTCGCCCACGAGGCCGTCTGCAAGTGGCTCGTTCGGAACCAACGGGCTGCCCTTCCTTCGAGGATCTCGGACATGGCCCGGGGGACTCCTTCCGGATTGACCCCGTACGTAGCTATTTTCTCCTCTAGCTCTGCGATCAGCATCAACGGATCGGACTCTCCGTCGAACCTTAGGTTCCACTTGCGCATTCGTTCCGGAAGCAAGTGTCTAGGAAGGGGGACCCTTAATGATGCCTCCGGCGTGGGTGCACCCATCTCATTACTGGGTCCGGGCGGCAACAACAAGGTATCCATCGTCGAGCTAGGATGAGCTCCGCGTCGGGTAGTACGGCTTCCGGGCGATGAAGTGCCGGCGGAGGTCTCTGCCAGCCCAACCGTAAAAGTTTCGGCCCCTTGTCCTAGGCCTACGCTTTTCCCCTGTCTGTTGGGACTCGGAGCGCGAGAGCTATAGAATTCCTGTAATTCCATGAGTCGTTTCCACACCATCTCCGGAAACGATCCCTTGCTCACCAGTGTGGCGAACGCCTTCTGCGTATCTGCCACTGTGCCGTCTGCACTGAATACAAATTCCAGCGCTAGAGCCGCGAGCTCGTTTTTACGGCGGGCGTAGATCCATCGTACACCCACTCCGGGATTCTTCGTCAAATTCGCATCTTCGTACTCACAATCCGACTCCTTTGGGTCGACCATGTCTCACGCAGTTAGTCTGTGACTGTTTCCTTGTAAATCTCTGTACAGGGCGCTGGTTGGACTCTTCGATCCACCTCGCAAGACAGTTTGTCTTCTTTAGTGGGTCTTTACGCCTTTTTCTTGTCACTCTAGCTAGCCTCAGTGTCCCTACTCGGGCGCCACTTGTAAGGGAGTTTTCTAACCGGGATATGAATCTCAGTCGTATTCCGGGGTCCTTTACAAGAAAATTTGTAAGTCACTGAGACACTGAGCTAGAGAGGTCTGTTCGTTCGATGAACAGAGTTTTATGGACTGTCTTGGAGGGGTTCTTCAGACCCAAAAATTCCACGGGCTGGACCTTAGGGCGAGGCCGCAGCCGATCGGAAGACTTTGCGCTGAAAAAGAGACTCTCGTCTGACAGAGGCGGAAAATTCCACCGACTGGACCTTCGGGCGAGGCCGCAGCCGATCGGAAGACTTGGCGCCGGGAAGTTCCTCTTCAGACGGAGACGGAAAATTTCACCGGCTGGACCTTCGGGCGAGGCCGCAGCCGACAGAACGATTCGGGGCTAAAGTTCAGTTCTCAGCTGATGGGGTGGAAAATTCCACCGGCTGGACCTTCGGGCGAGGCCGCAGCCGACAGAACAATTCGGGGCTCAGAAAATCACTCACGCGCGTTAAGGGGGATCCGCCGCCCTTCTTCCGACCTGCCTAGGGAGGATCGGCCTTCCCAAACGAGTTTACTATAGGGAGGATCCACCTTCCCTCTTCCGTCCTAACTGGGGAGGATCGTCCGTCCCAAAACGATTTGTTCACTAGGGGGGGATCCGCCGCCCCTTTCCCGATCTGCCTAGGGAGGATCGGCCTTCCCGAAAACGATTGCCCTACAGGGAGGATCCGCCTTCCCTTTTCCCGGCCTACTCGGGGAGGATCGTCCGTCCCAGAACGAGTTATGCGCGAGGGAGGATCCACCTTCCCTTTCCCGAGCTGCCTGGGGAGGATCGTCCGTCCCAAAACGAGTTATGCACTAGGGAGGATCCGCCTTCCCTTTACCGTCCTAACTAGGGAGGATCGGCCTTCCCAAAAACGATTTGTTCACTGTGCCCGTGGGGTTAATTACTAGGGGAGGAGCTTCGCATTATCAAGACTACGCAAGGAAAAATCAATGGCAACGGGTTAATAGTTTTACTTGCTTTAGTTAATTTCAAATTTTTCTTCCAAAACGCGCCTGCCTGGCGTTTTCCCGCACACGTCCGTTCGCAACTTTGTTCTCTCACCGACTGCCCCGATCTTACTTCCCCTGAGTGCCCGCATACCTTTTTCCCCTTCATCCACCCTAAGCTTATCTGGCATCTCTCTGGGCTTTCTAGTATTTTTACCCAGGATCGATACCGTGGGCGGGGTTGATGACCCAGCTTAATATTCTAATCTCAAGTATTTAACTTTAACGTAATTATATATATATTTGGCTCCTTGCCGCCGACTTCAGGGTTATTCTCTTAAATCTATAATAAATCCTTATAACTATAAAATCAAAACAAAACTTCATTATACTTTTCTCCTAGAACTAATAATAATAATAATTGGTACGTTTTTTTGCTGGCTGTGACGGTCTGGCCATCCGGCCACATCGTCACCTTCAGACAAATCGGAACTTTTTATAGGCATTGGTCTCATAGACTCCACTGTGGATTGATCGGGGTCCGAATCTTATTTAGCTCCCGATCTTAGCAACATATGAGGCGTTTCTAAAGTCGGCTGCTCATCCGCAGAGAAGTTCTGCTGGTCGCTTTGAAGTTGCGGGACGATTTCCTCAGGCCGACCACCAGCAGCCTTTTTGCGCTTCGGTGACTCATCTCATAGCTTAAGGCTATTAAACTGCGAGTCCAGCGCTAAGAGTAGATCATTAGCCTTGACAAAACTATCTCTAGCTATGCCAAAACTAGTGATCAGTCCCTTAAGGCCGCCTTTAGTTTGGCTCATTTTTTTTTTTTTTTTCGCGCGTAGTCCCACGGCCCACTTACCCGTCCAACCGACCGAGGGGCGACCGCCGTGTATCGTACGGCACGATTCGCGATAATTTGACGCGATTATTAAAACGAGGTTCACGAGAGAAGAGTCGCGACTTAGAAAAATAAGAAAAAGGCCGAGGAAAATGAGGAGGAAGACAATAAGATCTAATTATGAGCCAAAAAAGTCAGAAGAGATCGCTTTAAGAGCGGCAGAGAGTCAGAAATAGATATAATAGGATAAAGTCTATTATAGTCAGAACACAATACTCTGTAGGGATCATGCAGTTCATAGTTAGATCTACATTGATTTAAAATTAGGGGGATGTAATTTCTGGTTAATCTACTTGGAACAGAAAAGTTTAGCCTGCTAACTAAGTCGGGGCTATCAATTTTACCACAAATAAGATTATACATAAAAACTGCTCCAAGCATCGTTCTACGGTTGGCTAGGGAGGGTAAGTTAATTATAAGTAGTCTGCTAGAATAGGAGGGTAATAAGAGGTTTGCATCCCAATTTAGGCGCCGTAGGGCAAAAAGTAAAAAAAATTTTTGAACCGATTCAATACGATCCGAATGAACTCCATATTGGGGACTCCAGACCGGTGATCCATATTCAAGAATTGGACGGACAAGCGAAATAAATAAATTTTTAGTTATGTAAGGGTCGTCAAATTCCTTTGACCACCTTTTTATAAATCCCAGCACACTCCTGGCTTTATTCACCATAGACGAAATATGGATAGAAAATTTTAATTTTGGGTCCAGAAGAACACCAAGGTCATCCACCTGAGTTATTCTGTCCAAAGAGCAGCCACTTAAAGTGTAAGCCCCCCGTATCGGGTCAGTTCGACAAAAGGTCATAAGCTTACACTTTGAGCCGTTTAAGTTGAGTAAGTTATCACTGCACCATTTTTGAAAGCTATCTAGGTCGGATTGTAAATTCGAACGGCAAGAAATGTCCTTATACTGCAAGCACAATTTAACATCATCAATTTAACATCAACTTAAGATCCATTCTAGAAGATCAACTGGGAAACCTAATAAGTCAAGTTTCCTTATAAGAAGTGAATGATTTACAGAGTTAAATGCTTTACTAAAGTCAGTGTAAATGACATCTGTTTGAAAACAGTATATATATATATACAGTAGAATCTTGTTATAACGACTCCGCTTATAGTGTCCGTCCGGGTATTGCGACGAAAACTCGATGGCTTGATTGGTCCCCAGACAGACTTATACACTTATATCCTTTTGCTTAGTGCGTCTTTCGGGTATAACGACGAAAAATCGTCGGTCCCTTGAAAGTCGCTATAAGCGGATTCTACTGTATATATATACAGTAGAATCCTGTTATAACGACTCCGCTTATAGTGTCCGTCCGGGTTGTGCGACGAAAACTCGATGGTTTGGTTGGTCCCCATACAAACTTATATGAAAGGGCCTCCGCTTAGAGCGTTTCCGCTTTTAGCGACAAACCGCTTATAAGAACGAAATTTTTCAAGAAAATTGAAAAATTTAACCGGATATTGCGTCGTGCAGAACAAAAATACATTGTAATAGGGCCAAATGTAAGCATCAAAACACGCTGTTAGAAATTTATGTATTTATTAGTGATCGGCACCTTTGCTTGTGTGCGTAGCAGCGACACGAAGCATATTATACTGTCACTACTCTCTGTTAGTTTTAGCTGTCGCCTTAACCATGATAAAATTATACAAGGTAGTCCACTCGGTAAAATCCATAGTCCCCTATTTTAGCTTTGACAAGTAAGTGTGAGTGAAACGGCTACATACAAGCAGGCACGCACACGGAAAATAAGGGATCAAACCCGAACGACTTCGGCAAGCCGAGTGGACTATCTTGTATAATTGTATCATGGCCTTAACTACGCTGCTGCGAGAGAGAGAAAGTCGAAGTGCAATGCCGACGTGTGTAGTCCTCATAGTCTATTCCATGAGATGTCCCGTTATATTTCTAGTTTTTTTCTGCTTTTTTCCGAATAAAACTAAAAGCGTAAATTCGACAAATGCAAAATATGCAATAATAAGTTCACTCAGTTTTTAGTATTTTGAGAACCCATGCTTTTGAATTAAATTTATTAAATTTTTCGTTTTAATTAAAAAACTAATTTGTAACTAATTTAATAAATAAACAAAAAAAATGTTTTTTTGTTACTTTTGCTTAGTGCGTCTTCCGGGTAAAACGACGAAAAATCTTCGGTCCCTTGAAAGTCGCTATAATCCGATTCTACTGTATATATATATATATATACTAGCAGACCCGGCTACGCGTTGCTGTAGCTAAAGTTATTGTAATATTATATTGAAGTATACAATTAAAGAAGAACTGTAGGTAAGGCAGATAGTCTTAAGTCTCTAACAGTAATATTTATTATTTTAAACTATATATACTTTCAATTTCAATTTAATTTAGTACTAATTGGTGCACAATATTTTTGGTTAACCTGTCTTTTGCTAACACAAATAGATTTGACGGTTTTCCAACACGTGAACATGCAACATATAATTGTCCATGAGAAAAGCACGGACTTTCTAAATCCAAACCACAAATGGACATTGTTTGGCCTTGAGACTTATTTATCGTCATGGCAAAAGCTAAACGAATTGGAAACTGTAGCCGTTTGAAAGGTATTGTAGAATCCGACGGTATTATTGGAATACGTGGCAACAGGACCACTTTTCCTTTAAACTTCCCAGCTAAAATGGTTGCTTCGAGAATATTTCCGGTGATCTTTTTGATGATTAAACGTGTACCGTTGCATAATTGAGGTGGATTCAAATTACGTAGCAGAATAATCGGGGAACCAATCTTCAATTGAAGATTGTGGGGTGGCATTCCAGGTAGATCTAATGAATTTAAAAACTCAGTTGTAAAATTTACACTTTCATCTTCATTAACAACAGTATCGATTGATTTAAAAGACATCAGATCGCCTGGTATGAACTGTTGTATCTGTAAGTTAATTTCGTCTACATCAACATTTTTGGATGTCAAAATCGCCCGATGACTGAGCCAGTTATGATTCAAGTAATTATTCTGTATATCTGGAAAAATACTCTGAATTAATTCATTTTTATCTTGAAGAACAGTACAAAAATTTTCTGGCAGTTTGATGCATTGCGTATTTGGTTGCAGTTCTATTTTACCGTTTCCAATATCTAGTAATTTCTCCGAAAATATTTGTGCTGATGGATCATTTTGCAGCTGTACTCGCATGTTTATGGTTAATCGAAGTGTTTCAACACTTCGCCATAAGAATGATTGTTTCAAACATGCATTAATCTCATCCGCGAAAGTTGAGCGAGGTATAACCGGCAAGGTTTGATAGAAATCACCAGACAAAAGTAATATAGTACCACCGAAAAGATTATTATTGCTGTTTAAATCCTGCATAGTTCTTTGTAATGCTTCAAGTGAATATTTGTGCGCCATTGTGCACTCATCCCAAATTATTATAGAACTCTTCCGCAACACTGCAGCTATTCCACTATTCTTTTTGATGTTACACATTGCATCTGGCTTATGATGAATATCTAATGGCAGCTTAAATGTTGAATGTGCCGTTCGCCCACCATCCAGTAAAGTAGCCGCAACACCTGACGATGCAACTGCTAATGCGATTTTCTGTTGCGACCGTATTTCGGCAAGAATCAACGATATTAAAAATGTCTTACCGGTTCCACCTGGTGCGTCCAAGAAAAAAAAACCGCCTTGTTCAGCAGCAACAGCCAACATAATCCGATCATAAATATTTTTTTGTTCTGTTGTCAGTAATGGCTCACTGTTCGTGATAATCGTTGCTAAATTTTCATGGTCATATTGTTGTTCTCGTTGTAAATCGATATTGACTAAGTCAGTAGCTGGGCGATTAGGTGATGGTATACCATAATGATTAAGTGGTAAATTTGAAATTAGAACACATAAATCCTCGATTAACACCAATGCTTCATTATACATCTCTGGCGTGTAATCTATGTTTTGGCTTTGTTCTGCTTGTCTAATTCGGTGCAATATGTCTTCTGTCATGCAATTTTTATATTTTTCCCACAAAGTTTGTGCTTGCGATGGATAACACGTCGTCAAAATAATTGCAAACAGCTGACGAATGTTATTGGGCATTGATGTCAACGCAGCATCAGCAAGCGCTAAGTCCCAATGGTTATCGTCTTCTAGCAATTGCAGTTCGCGACATGCATCTTGGTATGTATTGAATACTCGACCATTAACTGTTCGCAGAAATTCAAATGATGTTGGTCCATGCACATTCACCAATAACAAACGTAAATAGAAGCACTCACTTTGTTTTGGATGTACTGTGTAAAGTCGCCCCAATGTCTTAGCTTTGAATATGGCTGGAATAGAAGGATGTGGTTTTCCTTGTTTTCGTGATTCCCATTTTTTACTGAATTTGTTCCATGTGAAATAACGCGGAACATCACCATATAGTAATGTTTTTGCGAATCGGCCAAAAACATCAGATCTTTGACACAATGTAAAAAATTCAGTTAGTGTCGTTTTTGGGGCCTCGAACGCTCTTTGGAAAAGATCTTCTTCAGTGAAGTATACACGTTGACCGTTTTCAAGATGTATTGCTAGATGCTGGACAGACGGATCTCTTTCGTGTATAGGAAAGCTGAGAATATGCCAAATAGCTTCGTTGCTGCTAATATATCTACCCATTTGGTATCGTGCTATTTCGTCATTTTTATGTATATCTTGTACTTCAAATATGGCCAAATCATTGCCTTTGTTTACATATTTACATATGTACTTAATTGATTTTACAGAACTGCAAAGCTCGACGTTGATATGAGCTTTATAAGTTTTTGAAAGTAATGGTGAATATGGTACCACCCACTGATTATCAAATTCTGTTTGATTTGGATAATTTGGCAGTCGCATTGTAAATGTGTGGCCACCATTCTCAGTATTTCTGCGGCGATATATAGGATAACCATCAATATCCGTGATAGTGTCATTCGTATGCGGCTTTGGGAAATTTTTCTTACATTTTCCATTTTCCATGCATGGCGACGTGATATTAAAAGCACCACATGGCCCATGGATCATGTGTTTAGTGACAACATCAAATAATTCTGGATCAATTAATGGGTCTGGAATTTCAGCTGATATTATTTGATCAATTTCTTCTGGGCGGATTTTATCTTCAAGCCAAATCAAAATGTGAGCATGAGGCAAACCTCGCTTTTGCCACTCAATCGTATACAGCTAACAACGTAGGATACCGAAAATTGAATATTTAACAATAAAATCAATTAAGGATTTCAATTTCGTCTATATTTCCAGCAACAGCATCTCGTAAGTGAATATATTCTTCTGATCGTAATTTAGCCTGGTTGAATCGAATGAATCGCAAGCGTTCGCTTTCAACCTTAGCATACATATCAACAATGTATTGATGGAATAGCTGACGATATCGAAGGATACAGTTGTCTTGATTTAGTCTAATCATTATTCGGTGTGCGTAATAGTTCATTGAGCTTACTTTTTTATTTCCATAATCACCTAAAAAAATAAAATGCAATACGAAATTAACATTTATACATACATTAAGAAAATAAAAAAGTAATTGTCAAATTTACCGGTATTAGGATCAAACTGTTTGATGTTAAGGTGATATTCATCCTGTCCTTGCCAAAATATCAATGGATATTGTAGTGCATCATATGAACGGTGTAGATCTGAAATCGTACTGATAGTGTTGTCTCTCCGAGTAATTTTTATGGATCTTTTGTCAATTGGATCACCAACCATGATGACAGCAACCTCATCAATAGTTGGAGCGTTGAATCTTCCAGCATGTTCACCTAATGGTACTTTATCGGCTTTTATAACGATTTGGTAGTTGTCATCTTGCAATCGTGGCGAAACTCTTTTGATTAATTGAAGTAGTTGATTCTGATCTTCTAAAAAATTTTCCAGTAACATCACAATTGCCTCTTCCTTTGCTTGTACAATGAAATTATACTGGCACCGAGTCGTTGCGCGCTCTTGACAATTGCCCATAAAATAAATTTGAAGAAATTTCGGATTACCATCAGGCATTGGCATCAATGATCCAATTTTGTGGTACACCTGGCCTTGTATTTTAAATGTAGTTTCAAAATTACGTCCATAGGATGCAAGATCACAAATTTTAGTTGCCCCAAATGATGTCATTTGGAAGCAAGTATTAAATTTGCGTATTTTACGCAAAAACAATTTTGAATCATTTGAATTCCCAGCAAGAAGGGATAATAAAGGTTCTGGCGGAGGGGGTAGAGGTGGCAGCACGACTTTTCCTGCTGCACAGCACATACCGGTAGTTTCATTTCGAAATTTCAACGCCTGACAATATTGACATACTTTATCCATTCCACCAATAGCAATTTTTGAATGCGCAGAGTAGTTAATATCTGGTGCATATTCAAAAGCAAGACGAACGAATGATGTACGTACTAATGAGCGGCTGATCCGTTGTCTTTGTCGTTCTTGTGCTCGTACTGTATCTATGTTTCGTTCTCGTGCCGCTCTTGTTCTCGTAATATTCTGTTGCAGGCGTTCGCTACGCTGTTCTTGAGATTCTTGTGCACGACCTTCCGCTGTCCTAATTCTTTGAGCTGTATTTCTTGTATCGACTTGTTCTGGCAACTGATGAGCTTTTTCAACACGTTTGCGTCGTGCCTCTCTGCTGCTCACGTTGTTGAGATTAGATTTTTTCGGCGGCATTTTAATTTACTATTATAATTATTATGTGACAATACCTGTATGTGTATTTTTTATATCTACAGAATTTTGAATAATGAAGCACAGATAACTAAAAAGCAGGAATGATTTCACTGTATGACAATAATTCGTCACTACAATTTGAATTTGATTTACACTTCGGTCTACGTACGTGGTTGGCTATGCTAACACCAAAAATTAAAAAAGTAGAAATATTAGAATTTCACGCTATTTCGTTTACTACAAAATAAATTTTATTTATACCTTAACCTCAATAACACGTGGTAATCAGGCTATTGTCGGTTTAGCATAGCAGCAAATTTGCCAATATTTCGTAGACAAAACGTGGTGTTGCTCTTGCTTATTTTTTATAGCATACTTTTGCGGGCAATTTGAAAATATTAAAAAAAAAGTAACCACCTACTATTGCATTCTGTTCGCCTGGTACTTCAAAATGAGGTTTGGTTGAATATGTTGGTATTGGCGGAACGAATTCGAAGGGACAAATTGGAAAATCCACTTTTAGGTACCAGGCGAACATAATCCATTATAGACAAATAATTAGCAATAAAATAAAATTGCGACTATAATTAAAGATCTAAGCTATCCTATCTCTTAAGTTGGACCAGACTGCTCATGGTATGCCAATTTAATTTAACATCGGTTAAGTAGTTTAGGAGTCCATCGCGGACAAACATCGTGACAGGAGATTTATATATATAAGATATATTATATATTATATATTCTGGAGTCTGGTAAACTCATATTTGCCTTGATTTACTGAAAATGCTGTTTTTTCCATATCTGATTGTCTGAGTGGGATTTGGTGAAATCCACTTTTAAGGTCTAAAATAGAAAAAAATTTATTTTGTCCAAGTTGTGCCAGTACGTTGTTAATGTCCGGTATAGGATATCTGTCTGGGATAGTAACCAAGTTAAACTTCCTATAGTCTATTACCATTTCTTAAAATGTTTATGTTTATGTTATGTTTATGTTTTTATGTTTTTTCTGTCTGGAGGCATCCATTTTTTTCGGTACAATCCATATTGGAGAATTATACAGGGATTTCGAGCGTTTAATCACGCCGTTATCGAGTAGCTCTTGTATTTGCTTCTCAAATTCTGGCCTAAGAGCTTCTGGGTATGGGTAGTGTCTCGAGTATATTGGACTTTCGTTCGAACTTCTTATAGTAGCTTCTACTTTGGTAGTGTATGTCAGTTTCTCGTCCGGGTCGCCAAATAAATTTGGGAATTTTAAGGAAATAATTTTTAAATTATTCTTTTGCGTTTCTGTTATATGCTCTTTTCGAATAACTAACTTGTTGACTTCGGGAGAAGCTTTCTGTTTTATTTTGATTCTTCGTTTGTTTTTAATTGAAATTAAACCTTCTTGTAAATTTATTTGAGCTTTGATTTCGCGAAGTGTATCATTTCCTATGATAGCATCGAAAGATTTTAACGAGGGTAGTAAAACAAATTTAACAAATGTATCTTTTAAATCGAATGGGTTGGTAATTGTGTGGTGTGTGATTTGAACATCTCCGGCTCTGGAGCTTACATGAAAAGATTTATTATTTTTTATTGGTTTTTTTACTAATCGCGGTTGAATGTAATTTTTATTAGAGCCGGTATCTATTAAAATTTTGATCATCTCTCCATCACCGATTTTACATTGAAAGAAAGGTAATGAAGAGGATTCTACTCTAAAAAATGAAGTCCAGTATATTCGGTTTCCTCTGTTTCTTGTTCGAAATCTGGAATTTCTGCATAGTATTCGGCTGTTGTCTCGTCAGTTTCCGTCAATTGGTCGGTGTTTTCTAATGGGTGTTCTTGTTCAGTGCTTATGTCAAAATTTCTTTGTCTTTTATCTGCCAGTCCGCTTGTTTGAGGTGGTGGTCGTTTTCCCTGCAGTCCCTTATTTGGTATGTTCATAAAATGTATTTGTCTTGTCTGTAAACTTTTATCTATATCCATAGGCTCTAGCTTAGGCTGAGGCTTTGGAGCCAATGGACGTGGTGGTTGTATTGCTGGGTAAGATGTTATTATTGATGATGTCCACTAAATTGCATTTGCTGCTGTGCAAAAAAGGGTGTCGTTTTCGGGGTCTGTGGAATGTGAGCTAAATCTGGGATAAATGGTTGGGTGCCTGCATTGGATGTTTGCTATTAATTTCTTTGTAAGGCGGGTCCTCTTGTACGCCCCTCAAATTTCCTTGAATTGTTTTGATAATTATTGGCGTAATTGGTTCTGAAATTTTGATTTTCTAGTCTTTCGCATATTTGGAGTGCAGATGTAAGATCTGCTGGCTCTTTGGTACCTAGCAGTCTAGGCAAGTCGCCGTTAAGACCTCTGATAAATGTATCAAGCGCCTTGTCTCTGTAAGACTTGGCGAAAATATCAATTGATTCTCTTCCCATTTCCATGCATGAAATTTTGTTCAAGATGAGTGATAAGAGGGTATAGACCTGTTGGTAGAAATCTGCTGTGGTTTGATTACTCTGAACTAACTGAACTAACATGACTTATGTGATATTCTAGTGTCGTAACGTCTCGTTTATTAGCGTAGTGGGCTGTTAAACATTTGGAGATTTCTGTCCAGTTTAGTGGTGTGTTTTATGATTCTACCACTGAGTCTGCATTACCTACGATTTTCTTTCTAATAACATTTAAAATTCCATAGTACCTGCGGATCCTTCTGTTAATGAATACATCTTTATTATTCTCTCTACGCTCTTCCTCCCAGAGCTGAATTCTCCTGCTTGGCCAGAAAATTCCCTGAGGCTTTTCACTAAGTCTGGGACTTTGTCAAATTCACTCAAATTGTTTGCATTAGCATTATAGGTTTGATCGAGTAGCGGCCCTGAATCTGGGTTTAATTTTTGATTTAAAGTTCTCTCTAATATTTCTTGTATTAGGGCTTGCATATTAGCTAAGTCTGCTGGGACTTGGTTTGCTTCAGGAGCTTGTACTCCACTATTGTTTAGCATCGCGGGCCTGATCAGATGATTTGGATTAGCTATTGTGTGTTTTTGTGAATGAAAATATTTTTTGTATGTGTAGAGATGTGTAGGGTTGTACGTAAAATATAAATTCTTAGGTTACTCATTTTTTTTTTTTAGATTGGATTTCTATTTTCTGTTTGTTTGCTTGGTTTTAGCCTTTTTGTTTTTGTGGCTTTTTGCCTTTGTTTTAGCTTTTAAACTTTTGTTTAAAGATATTTATTTTGGGTATGTTTCACTTTTGTGATTTCTTGTTTGTAATTAAAGGTTAGCTTACAGTAAAATAAAATACATCCTGAACCGGTCAGTTGGTAGTAGTCCTTTTTGCTCCTTGCTACTGGGGTACTTTTTCCTGACACTCCCGTCCAGTTGTCTACGGCGATCGCCTGCACACTAATATAAGTGAGTCCTTTTCTTGGCGGGTCGTCCAGCAGTGTTGCCTTTCCTTTGGTGCGCCTTTTTCCCGGTATTACCTGGGCAGCCTATGGGGTGCACTTGCAAGTGATTTTTGGATTCGCGACCTATTTTTCGGATCGGTGGAACTCGGGCAGCCTTTGGGGTGCTCTTGCGCGTGTTACTTTGATTCGATACCAAGGATATTTCCGCGGACAGGACCATTAAACGTTGGGCGCCAGTTAAACACGCACCAGTTAAAAAAAATAATATTTATTGAACACTTGGTAAGTATTTATTTACAGAAATTGCCATATTTATACCCAATTACTTTGTCGCTGCCTCTGCCAACGTCGGAGCTTTGCCGTTATCGTAGCTGCAGCGGGAAGTGGATCAGACGCTGCAGTCAGCACTTTTTGGGAGCTATTGACCGAAGCCAGGAAATTGCCCTTGCACTTTTATCTGCTGGTGCAATACCGGATGCGCGTGGCCAACTTCGATTGCAAATTCGTTTTGTGTTAACTTATATATATCGGAGCACATGGTGGAGGGGACGGAGACAAAGGTGTATCTTTTTCCATGATTTCTATTGATAGAGTTTGGCACAGCAAGTCGCCTGCGTGTTGTTCACTGTCGCGTGTCTTTTCCAAAAGTGACCTGCAAGCAGTCCTTTTAACCCTCTCGCTTTCTTCCTCATCTTCTCATTCAGCAGAATCCATCTATCATGCTCTTGCTTTACGCTCTTCAGCTGAACAATACCAGGCGCCATGCTCATTTGGCTTACACATCAATGATGCCAACTTTTAACAGAATCTTAACATTCTTTTTTATTCAATTTAGGTTATATTCAAATTTAACATAACTAGCTTTACGAATCTACGACACGGCCTTCTTGACATTCACGCGTCCTCGCGTGTCACATCTCTCGACATCTGTAAACATAACAATAATATTCCATTCACTGTTCTCTTTTGTTTTTCTTGTGGTCTTAGTTTAACATTTCATTTCATATCAAATAAACATTACTTTACATTTAAACATAAAAATTCAAATTAATAGAATTAAAATCATAAAATTATTCAATTCATTGTATTACATTGGCATCCCTTGCCTTGCTCAAATTTCTTCATTTTTTTTTTTTTTTTTTTTTTTTTCTGCCACCACGTCACTCTTTGTTTACATTTTCTTCTCGTACCATAACTCTTAATCAATATCCCTTATCAGTTCATATTTCTCTGGCTCTTGCTGCACACATTGCAACGCTCTCACGCACCTTCTGCGTCACGGTCCTTCTGGACCCACATAGCCCCCGCCATGCAGTTACTGCGCAGATAACAACATGGTGCGGCTGTAGCCTTGCAAAGGATTTAACTCGAGTCTATGGTATCTACGAGTGCCTCAGTCGGCGATCTCTCGCATTGATCTGCATCTACCTCATCAGGCATCGCACGTAGCTGTTCGTGGGCATACTTATACGTTCGTTTACTTGACAGAGATCTCAAAACATACCGGTCACCATCAAGCCTTTCTATAATGACAAAGGGTCCCTTATACTTCGGATCCAGCTTTGTTTGGTGCCGTTCTTCACTTTTGAGCAAGACATGGTCGCCCACATTGTAATGTACAATCTTGGCTTTGTTTTTGTCAAATCGCTGCTTTTTATATTCGGCATTCTTGTCAATATTTAGCAAGGCTCTGGTTCTAGTGCGTTCAGTATCAATTTCTTCCTCCTCTACTAATGGCATCATACCCATTGGTCTAGCCTCCTTGCCAATTAATAACTCTAACGGACTGACTTTCGTTACTCTATTGGCCGTGCAGTTCATGGCCAACTGTACCTCTTTTAAGGCTTCTTGCCAAGACCGCTCACTCGTTTCTACCGCTGTCAACATTGCTTTCATGGTACTCATAACGCGCTCCACCTGACCATTCGCGCGGCTATCACTTGTTGCTATCAGATGTAAATCGATTTTTGATGATGAACAAAACTGCTTAAAATCACTACTGGCAAAGCTTCGGCCTTGGTCGGCAATCACACGACTAGGCACTCCAAACATGCATATGGTTGACTTTAGTGCCTCAATGCAGCTACTTGCGTTAAGGCTAAGTGCGTGATGCAAATGAACATACTTAGTGAAAGCGTCTATTTGC